ACACACACACACACACACACACACACACACCACACACCACACACACACACACACATTACACACACATTATACACACACACATACACACACACAACACATAACACACATATACACACACATACATACACATACATACACATACATACATACATATACATACATAACATACACATACATACATACATACATACATACATACATACATACATACATACATACATACACATACTACATACATACATACACACACATACATACAAACACACCACACACATACACACACACACACACACACACACACACACACACACACACACACACACACACACACACACACACACACCACACACACACACACACACACACACACACACATATATATTATATATATAACATATATATATATATATAAAATATATAATATATATTATATATATTATAATATATATATTATATTATATTTATATGTATGTATGTATCTATATACACATACACACACACCCACACACACACACACACCACACACACACACACACACACACACACACACACCACACATACACACATATATATATATATATATATATATTATATATATATATATATATATATATAAACATGTCTGTATATGTATATATAATATATATCATCATCATCATCATCATCATCATCATCATCATCATCATCATCATCATCAGGGTTAATCCACTGAAGAACGTAGGCCTCCCCCAATCTTTTCCAACTTTTCCAGTCTTGGCCCCCAAATTTCATTATATCGTCATGCCATCTTGTCACTGGTCTGACCCTTGCCCTCATTATGTTGTCTATAGTCGAGTCTGTTACTTTCTTTATGCCCTGCCCGTTGCCAATTTTTCTTTTTCTTTTTCTTTTTCTTTTTCTTTTCTTTCTTTTCTTTTTCTTTTCTTTTCTTTTTCTTTTTCTTTTCTTTTCTTTTTCTTTTCTTTTCTTTTCTTTTTCTTTTCTTTTTCTTTTCTTTTTTTCTTTTTCTTTTTTTTCTTTTCTTTCTTTTTTCTTCTTTCTTTTTTTCTTTTCTTTTCTTTCTTTTCTCTTTTCTCTTTTCTTCTCTTCTTCTTCTCTTCTTTTCTTTCTTTCTTTCTTTCTTTCTTCTCTTTCTTCTCTTCTCTTTTCTTCTCTTTCTTCTCTTCTTTCTCTTCTCTTCTCTCTTTCTCTCTTCTCTTCTCTCTTCTCTTCTCTTCTCTTCTCTTCTCTTCTCTTCTCTTCTCTTTCTTCTCTCTCTCTTCTCTTCTCTTCTCTTCTCTTCTCTTCTCTTTCTTCTCTTCTCTCTTCTTCCTTCTCCTTCTCCTTCTTCTTCTTCTTCTCCTTCTCCTTCTTCTTCTTCTTCTTCGATGGTCCCGAGTATATCTTCCACCTTTGTCTGTTCCCTGATCCATGTCGCCCTCATCCTATTTCATAGGCTAATTCCCAGCATCAACCTTTCCATCCCTCTCTGGGCACTTATTAGTTTCCTCTCTAGTCATTTGGTTGTTGTCCATGTTTCTGATCCATAGGTCATAACTGGGAGGACACACTGGTTGAAGACTTTTCTTTTTAAACATATTTGCAAAGAGCCTCTTAGTATACTACTGTGCCTGCCGAAGGTGCTCCAGCCTAGACTGATGCATCGCTTTATTTCCTCTTCGCTCGATGTGTTTGTCTGTATGAGTTGCCCTAGATATCTATATTTATCTACTGCTACTAGTGCTTCACCTTGTACAAGTCCGACTTTTAGACTTTCTCTATTCAGATCGTTTATTGATTGCTGCATTTCATTTGCTGATTCACTGAAGATAACAATATCGTCTGCAAACCTGAGATTGTTTAGGTGTTCGTCTCCTATTTTCATACCCTTCCCTTCCCGTTCTTGTTTCTTGAATATTTCTTCAAGGCAGGCTATAAACAGTTTTGGCGAGAGGGTGGCACCCTGTCTAATGCCTTTTTTAATTGGTATTTTATCGGTTTCTGTGTGGAGCTTGATGGTTGCTGTCCCATCTTTGTATATATCTTCCAATATTTTACAATATACCTCCTCTACTCCCTGTTGTCAAATAGCACCTAATATTGCTGGTATTTGTACAGTCAAATGCCTTTTCATAATCGATTAATGCCATACACAGGGGTTTCCTATATTCATTTATTTTTTCTCTTATTTGAGTGAGTGTGTGGATATGGTCTGTTGTTGAGAATCTACTGGGAAAGCCTGCCTATTCTATAGGCTGGTTTGAATCCAGGCTATCGGAGATGCAAGCTGTAATGACTTTTGTGAACAGTTTGTAAGTAACTGAAAGGAGGCTTATGGGTTGTTAGTTTTTAAGATCCTTTTTATCTCCTTTTTTATGTATCAAAATAATTAATGCATTTTTCCAGTTTTTCGGATTTTTTTTTTTCTGTTGAGAAGGCATTTGTTAAATAGATTGGCTAGTTTCACTTGCAATTTCTCCTGCATCTAATATAAGGTCTATACTATTTCCATCTTCACCTGGTGTTTTCTTCTCTTCATGGCTTTAAGCACTCTTTTTTTTTTCTTCTATTGTGATATTAGATACGTCTCTAGTTACCGCATTTGCTTCAATCCGTGGCTGTTCATTTGAGTTGCATCGATCCCTGAAAAAGTCTTCCATTACTCTTATAATTTCATTCTTATTATATGTCACTTCTCCGTCTGGTTTCTTTATTGCTTACATTTGATTTCTCCCTATTCCTAGTCTCCTTTTAGTTGCTTTCATGCTGGTACCTGAAATTACTGCATCATTTATGATTTGATCATTGAATTTCTGTACATCTTACCTCTTCTTTTTATTTATGGTCTTTGTTAGTTCAACTAATTCTATCTTGTCCGTGTTTAATGATACTTTCATGGCCCTACGTTTTTGCATAAGCTGTTTAGTTTCTACTGAGAACTTGCTGGAGCTTTGCTTGTCATTCTTACCGCTTACTTCAAGTGAAGTGAATATCTGTTTTGAATGTTAAGGCTAAATTCTGTCGCCCTGATCTTCAAATTAGCCAAGTTTGGCTGCGGTTTGCGTATGAGTTTGTTCCTCTCCCTTCTGAGGTGTACTTTAATTTTGCCTCTCGCCATTCTATGGTCGCTGCCAACATTTACTTTATTAATGATATCCACATTTTTTATTATATCACTCTTATTTAAAATTATGAAGTCAATTTCGTTTTTGACATTAGATGGCGACTTCCATGTCCACTTCCGTTCTAGTCTTTTTTTTAATGTATTCATGATATTGAGCGATCAAGCCTCCGCAAAATCGACCAGCATTTGTCCCCTCTCATTTCTAGTGCCTATTCCGTGGTTCCCTACTATGATTTCTCCTGTCATTTTACCTGTTTTGGCATTAAAATCTCCCATAATTATTGTAAAATGGGCTTTTACTCTCGCTGGCTAAAGGAATATCTTCATAGAAGCTCTCCATTTCTTCATCACTTTAGCTGCAGGTTGGTGCATAGACCTGAACAATCTTTAAGTTGTACCTATTGTTTAGTTTTTTGTTACTGAAGCCACTCTTTCGCTTATACTATAGAATTCCACAATGTTCTTTTCTAAGAGTTTGTATATTAAGAACCCTACCCCTAATTCCTGTTTGCTACCCTGGGGTTTTCCTCTCCAATAGAGCACATGTTCGTCATATAGTATCTTCTGTTCTTCGCCCAGTCTTCTAACTTCACAGAGTCCTACAGCATCCCATTGAAGACAGTTCCTTGAGTAAAGCTAGTAAGTCAGATTCAGTTCTCATGGTCCATATATTGTATGTGCAAAGGTTCATCAACGTGAGGTGGCCGGATAAGTTTAGCGCCCTCTTCTCTGGAGTGATTCCCCTCCGGGGAATGAGGGCCATTGCTCTGTAGTATTCATGTTGGGGGGATTACAGCCAATTTACCTCCCACCTACTGGCTTGGGTTGCAGTAATAATAACAAGTAACATTTTGTTATTTTGTCTTTCTTTATACTTTCATAATCAGTTTTGTGTAAGGCCCTACACCACTGGTCAAGGTGGGCAGAAATAGGATTCTGAGAGTCCTCCTGAAGCTGGTGCGCTTCCAGGCATGACTCATGAATGGTACATTCCACTCTTGCTAACCGGTGAAATTAAGACGAGAGCCCCTTCCTCATTGCCCACTGTCTAAACTTTGTGCACTCACAGTGATACAGTCCCAAAACTCTGGTGCTCTGAGACACCCATCAGCCAGGTCTCAGTAAAGAAGGAAAAAAATTAAATAATAATAAAAAAATATATATATGACAGGTCACACCTGCCAGATGCAATGGGTTAAGAATATCTAATCATTTTATCATTTTTTATTAGGAGCATTTTTTTTTCTTTTTTGTAAAACTGGTTTAGCTATAAAATGCATTACCCTTATAACATTTTTTTATTTTGTCTATACATTACAAATCATGAGTAAAAACTTCTGTATTTCTGAAGACTCAAAACAGCACTGTGAATCAATAGTACAAAATTCCTGAAAAAGATTTCCATCTACACGTGCATTCAACCTCAAGAACACAAAAACTGAAAGCACAGCATAAAATTGGCTTCAGTGCCTTGCAGTGAAAACTAAAGGGTGTTCATAATGCATGAAAGCCACTATGAGAAGGTTTCACAACTTGGTATCTCAGCACTGTAGTAACAACAGCTGCCCGTGATGACTCACAAGAGCAAACCATAACCTGTATCTGGAGTTTTACTTTCATCCTGCCAATATCTGGCCCTTCAGGTACATGTCCCCCTGATACAGATTTTCTAAGCTCGGCTTATTTTTTAAAAATAAAATAATTCAACTAGCTCATGACCATGTAAATATATATGTGAGAGCCTTAATAAAAAGCGATGACATTTGCATAAGTAAGTCTGATTACTCTTCTTGTGTCCATAATTCAGGTATGGTAATCCTTGTTTCTTTCCCATTACTCTCAGATCTAAATTATAGATTTTTATCTGCTCAAAATTAAACAATTCAGCACTACTTTCCCTCTAGCACACTAATGGTGCATTTTACTCTTGGTCTTTGTTATTTACATAATGACTTATTGGTTCTTGTCAAATGTTGAGGTAGTTTGAAATTTACGCATTTTTTCAGCTCCTCTTTAATTCTTGCCTCAGTCAGTTGTGCCATGTCTATTTTCTTTGCAAACAATTGAATCACCTTTTTCATATTTTATGTGCAGAAATGAGCATTGCAGTATTTCAATTGTAGATAGGGCTGTTGGGTCACATTATTACTGCTAACATGTCATACTGCTAAGTAGCTTAATACAAGTTTAACTTTGTGCATCTAATAAACCATACCAAATATCTGTTACTCAAACTATTAGTTATCATTATTATCACTGCAACATTACTTGAAAAGACTTCATATGAAGAATAAAAGAAGTCAAATATCTTAACCACAGGCCCTAACTCGTAATAGCTGAAGCTGACCTCTCCACTTATAAATACTTTCTTTGGCACAATACACATGGGCAAAACATGCATGGATATACCTAACAGCCATAACATGTATGCACACATATCTGTGCAAATGTCCATATGTGCACTACACACATGCATAAAAACACACAAACAGAAAATTGCACATACATGTTCGTACACATATTCATGTACCATGAAAAACTTATTTCAAATATAGAGAGAAAAGTAGAAAGTAAAAAATAAAAATAAATATGAATAAATAAATGTCAAATCCAATTCTTACGTGAACATCAGTTACACTACTCGAATAATATAATAATTGAGCTTTTACCAAACATGGTAAGGGACACATGAAAAAAGAATCAAAATGCAGATCATTATATTTGTAAATAAAATATCACCCATGTATTGTTACACATAACTTATGCAAGTGTCTTCAGTAATGAAATCATCAAAATAAAAATAAAACTGAT